TATTTTGCAAAATGGACGTGCGCTGGAAACATCCCTGGACGTCGATCGTGTGCGGACCCACCGGTTGCGGGAAGACGATTTTCGTGAAAACTTTTCTCCGACAACTATCTTACATGTCCGACGTGCGTTTTGAGAGAGTTTTGTTTTATTACGCCGAGTGGCAGGAGGCTTATCGTCAATTAAAATACGACGCGCGCGAGGAAGCAGCGGTGAAGAAAAATATAATTGAATTTCGCGAGGGATTGCCACGTCCGGAAGATTATTCCGCCGATCCGCTTTCCCATAAATTGGTGATAATCGACGATCTTATGAGAGAATCGTCATCAAGCAACGCGATCGTAGATCTTTTTACCAAAGGCAGTCATCATAAGAATCTCAGCGTAATTCTCATCTCGCAAAATCTTTTTCATTAGGGACGCGGACAACGCGATATATCACTCAATGCAAATTACATCGTGGTTTTCAAGAATCCTCGCGATCGTGCGCAAATTCGTCATTTAGCGCGTCAAGTCTTTCCCAACGATCCAAAGTTTCTAGAAGAGGCGACAACGCCACGTCGAAACCGCACGGGTATCTACTACTCGATTTGAAACAATCGACTCCGGACGAATATCGATTTCGAAATTGTATCTTTCCCGACGATACTGCACATTTCGTTTACGTACCGCGTAGATCATTTTCCAACGGCTACGTATAAAAGACGCGCACTAGCGCACACGCTGGTCAGTCGTGTAATTTTCTCGCGATGGAAAAGAAAGAAAATAACGCAAAATCAGACAAAGCGACGAAAAACGCCAGACGCTCGATCAGAAAGAAAAATACCTGTCTTCTCGAGGCGTTTTTGTATTTGAACAAAAATCAACGCGCGACCTTCTTACGGACCGCTGACGATAAATTAATACGGTGTATCAGCGAATGTTTTCAACACGCTCAAAGGTAACGTTCCGCTCGAACGACGTGAAAAAAAACGATTAAGCAAACACAAAGCGACCCTGCGTCGCATCGCATCAAAAAGCAGTAATTTAAAGGCTAAAAGATAGCCTGGTACAACATGGTAAATTCTTACCTTATATTATCGGTCCTATATTAGCCGCTTTACTGTCGCGAATTATCGGCGGTAGAGATTAAAACGCGCGTTATGGAAAGAGCAAAGAAGATGGTTTTGATCACTACGGAAAATCTCGAAAGAATGCAGCGTCAATTATCGCAACAAACGCTCCCCACCGCGTTTGCCGCCGTCGGTAGCGAACAAACGATGGAAAACAGCGAAAATTCGGAGAACGCCAATATTTTCGTGCGTTCACCGGGAACACCTCTATCGCGACTCCATGCGGAGATGAGTCACATTCTTAATTCACCCTTACCACTCGACGCGCAACGTCGAGGAGAAATGGAAAAAATATAAAGAGGCACTTTGGCGATATCTTCATTTTGTTCGTGTAGCGCGAAAGCGAAATCGGGACGCGCGCAACGATGAAGGGGACAAAAATACTGACAACGATATTTGTCGTGACGACAACGACGTCGACGACGACTACGAAACGACGACAACGCGCGATCTCGAATCGGCTTCACACTCTAGCGGTATTATGGCGAAAAATGACGTCGCGGCCGTTGCCACTGCTGCTGCTGCTGCTACCGTCACGTCAAACAAACGTAATTTTGATATGTCGAAAAGCACTAAAAGAATACTGGATAGCGTACCAAAAACTTATCGCGCGAATGCTCGCTTACTGTTAAAGTATTTGTTCGATAAAGCAGTTCTGAGTAGAATTAGCTGGAACAAAGATGGAGTCGTCACTATAGACGCAGCGTTATAAAAGATTCGAATATCGACGACCTGATAAACGAGGCTATGCGCGAAAGAAAAACCGTGAAAGCAACGGGGAGACTTCAGTTCGTACGATTACTTCGCGTCTTAAACGTCCCCTCGATACTAGTGAGAAATAAGGAATTATTAACCGCTAATTCTTCTTCGAATATCGCGACATTTTGACCTCTCAGGAATTCCACACCGTCGGAGACACCGAAAAGTACCGTTGATTCGCAGCAGGCGAAGAAAAGACGCTTACTCGATTGAAGTAAACAGAAATGACGGAACTTGAAAAATTCTACTACGATCCGCGACATTACGCGGGCTATTCGGCAACGGATAATCTGACGCGCGCCGATAAACCGAATTTCTCCCGTAACGAAGTCACGCGTTGGCTCGAAACGCAAGACGCTTACACGTTGCATCGTCCATCGCGCAAAAAATTTTCACGGTTGCATTACAACGTGTCGAATATCGACGATCTGTGGGAGGCCGATTTGATCGAGCTCCGAAATCTCAAAAGTTACAACGACGGATATTCGTATCTTCTGGTGATTATAGACGTGCTTAGTAAATATGTCTGGGTAGAACCGCTACAAGACAAAACGAGCGAGCACGTGACGACGGCTTTCCAGCGCGTGCTCTCGAAAAGCGTCGGGCGCGTACAGGTATACTTACAAACGGATAAAGGTAAAGAATTTATCGGGCGTCCGTTGCAAAAGTTTCTGGAAGAAAACGACATTCGTTTTCGCGTGGCCCGAAATCCGGATATCAAAGCTGCCGTCGTCGAGCACTTCAACAGAACGTTGAAGGAGCGAATGTGGCGCTATTTTACGCATAAAAATACGCGGCGCTACGTCGATGTTTTGCAGGATATCGTAAGCGCTTACAATCACACCCGTCATTCCTCCATCAGAATGCAGCCGGCTGTCGTTACGAGAGAAAACGCTCGTGTCGCGCGCGAAAATATAGTTCGACGATGGAGGAAGAACGAAAAGATGAAACGCGCACAAAAAGCTAAATACAGCGTCGGAGAACTCGTTCGCGTCAGTAGCAAAAGCTACCTTCGAGAAAGGATACGAGGCGACGTGGAGTGAAGAGATATTTCGAATTCACCGCATTCTCGAGTGGTGAAAACCACGCGTATACGAACTGAGCGATTTAGCGGATGAGGTCATAGACGGTATTTTTTACAAACAGAAATTAGCTAGAGTTGAGAAAAACTTACGGGAAGAAGAGTTTATCGTCGATCGCGTGATAAAGACCAGGAGACGCGGCGCTAATAAACAGGTGTTAGTTAGCTGGCGCGGTTATCCCAGCAAGTACAACACTTGGATCCCCGCTTCGAATTTAACTTCTCTTCCTCAAGATGAGGGACGACCAATTTCTCATGGTTCTTCCGAGCAATAGCAGTATGCGCTATTTCCCGGAAAATAGAACCTCGTCATTCGTTACGAAATTACCTCAAACTGATCACTTACACGGCGAATGGGAAGTCGCGCTTAGCGAGATTCAATTTCCCAGTACTCTTTCACACTTGCGCTATCATGAAAATGAAATCTTCTTCTTCGATATTAAACCGAGGGAGTAAAAAGCACAGGTGGTGAAGAAAAGCACAATATAGTACGGTCTTTACAAAAATACCAGAGAACTTATCTCAGCGATTAATGCCACGTGCAAACAAGCTGACTTGCACTTTTATTTGGATCAACATAAACAGATTGGAGGAAAAATCCTCATCAGCATTACCTGTAACGCAAGCGAATGCGATCTAATACATCATATGAGCGTTTCCGATACTCTTCTACAAATACTCGGTTTAGGTCATGCTCTTCTCAATATTCCCGAACACTATGGCAAATTATATGTCAGGCGCAGCAATTTATCCTATTTCCAAAAAAGTGTTTACTGCAAATTATATTAAACTTGAATTTTTTAACGAAAATAAAGGTGTACGCGAAACAGCTTTCTATAGTCGTGAACCTTGTAGTTTGCAGCGCGGTATTCCAGATAAAATGTTCGTTTATTGCGAGCCTTATGTAACAGGAGACGTGCAAACTCCTCTTCTCCGAATAGTGCCGGTCGAGACATACCGCAATAATCACGTGGAGGCTTACGGAACGAATCAGGTGAAACATTTCTCTCCGTTCCATTATATTCTATTACGCAAAACAAACTTCCGCACGATTGAAATAGATATAAAAGATCAACTCGGAAAAAATATACCATTCGAATCCGGGACGCTGACGGTGACATTGCACTTTAGACGTTTCCAGTAACACCGCGGAGTGTCGTTGTCGAAAAGAATAAAAATTAATTTTAGTACAATGGACTACGAATATTACGATTCACATCAGAGCGGACGAGGCGGAGGAATTCCAAGAGTTTTCGTCAAAGCACCCCATCAACGAGGTCATGGAATCGGTAGTTTTCTCGGCGGATTATTCAGAAAGGTACTGCCTTTCCTAAGTAGAGGCGCGCGAGCGGTCGGTAAAGAAGCTTTACGCGCGGGTATCAATGTGATGAAAGATGTCGAAAATAATACACCGTTGAAGGAGGCGCTCAAAATTCGCCTCAAGAAATCGAGTGGAAATCTTAAAAGAAAAACACAGGAGAAGATAAGCAGCATGATGAAGGGATCGGGGTATAAAGTAACCGCAAAAAATTCAGCGTTTCAGTTTCCCCTCGGCAACCACGACAGTCGCGTCGCAGTTCGTAAACGTCGTCGTCCTCAAACGGACAAAAGAAAATCGTCAAAAAGCAAGAAGAAGAGAATAACGATCAAAAAATCATCGAAGAAGAAGAAGACTCGTGCTGTAAACAGAAAGTCATCTACCACTACGAGGCAACGTCGTCGTCGAGTTAGCGTCAAGAAACGCAGCGTATCCAACATATTCTCTTAATCGTCGCGCGCGCGCACGAACCAAGAATTCAAGGAGTAGAGAAGGATAAGCAGAGAAGGAGTCGAGAAGGATAAGTAGAGTAGATAAGCATGTCTTTTCTCCACACACATTCGAACGAGTGTTTAAAAAGTGAACTCGATTTCTTCTCATTGCCATCCACTCAAACTAGTATCGAGAGCTCGCAATGGATCTATTAAAAGCCCATAACCTCCCTCGGGGACGACGCGCCTATAGAATTCGTCATACTTGGTCACGGGGAAGACTACTTGGACCTCACTCACACTATGTTGAGTCTTCGCATAAGCGTAGAAACTTCTCTCCTAGCAGGCGGCGGTGGCGACAACGAAACAAGTACACCAGGGGGAAATGCGTTCAAAGTAGGCCCCGTAAATCATTTACTGCATTCCATGTTCAATCAAATCGACGTATATTTCAATCAAAAGCTCGTCTCACCCTCAAACAACGCTTACGCGTACCGCGCGTACATAGAGGCGTTGTTAAATTATTCTTCACCCGCAAAACCTTCCCATCTGACCTCTTGTCTGTGGGACATGGATATCCCCGGACTCATGGACGCACTCGTAGATTCAGAAACACCAAATCCGGCTCTCGTGAGACGCGCTCGTTACATTCACGAGGGACACGCGCTAGATCTCATAGGTCATCTTCATTGCAACGTTTTCAATCAGGATAAATTTTTAATTAACGGTGTGGAAGTTAGAATGAGACTCGTTCGTTCGAAGGATTCGTTTTGCCTTATTAAAAATACTTCGACGTCGAAAATACGCATTTTAGACGCCATTCTGCTAGTGAGAAGAGCAAAAATAAGTCCTGGCATTTTACTTGCGCATGCGAAAATGTTGAGCCAAACTACCGCCAAATATCTCCTTACGAGAATCAAAGTTAAAACATTTACGATTCACGCGGGTCTCGTAGAAGAATCGTTAGACAATGTAGTACTCGGTCAACTGCCGAAACGGATAATAGTCGGTTTTGTCGATAACAGAGCGTTCAACGGCGATAGAAAATTAAACCCGTTTAATTTCAAAAACTATGGTATAAAGGGCATAGGGGGATAAGCATGTAAAAATTGCCCCTGCAAGTATGAAGTTGATATTGGCGTCGTAAGTTAGTACCCATGTGACCTTGAACTCCTGCAAATATTGACCTTGAAATTATATTTTTGAAGGAGTTATGAAGGAAAAAAGAAAAAAAACAAAAAATTTTTTTTCTCGAAAACGGCTCGACCAACTTTTATGAAAAAAATATATGTTGTAGGTATCAATGTTGTAGGTATTAGTGTTTAAAAAAAAATATTTTGTAATTTTTTAACAAATAATAGAGCTACAAAAAATGTTTGAATTTTTCAATTTTTTTGTGTTTCTTTAGAGTGACATCTTTAATTTTTTTGCAAAAACATTGTACTAGTATCTATTTTAACATATAATTTTCCTAGATTTTTAAAAAATATAGTTTTGGAGTAAAAACATGAAAATCATGATTGTGTCACCTAATGCTCAAAGTAACGTCTTGTAGCGCCGGTCAAGGCATAAAGGCGCTTTGTTATTGAATGGCATATTTTGTTAGAAAAGCTTTGGCTTATTATTTATTACTTGTTTATCACATTTTTTTAAGGCTTGTGACGACAACGACGATGTCCTCACGGTCTCGTCGGCCGTGGAGGAGCGCGCCGTCGCTTTCTTCACTAAAGATCTCTTTATGACTCGCGATATTCCTCTCCGAAACCTAAATGGTAGCTCGACTGAGTATTTTTATGATGTAAATGTTGGGCGCCAGGTGCGATTCCTCGCACCACGATACACGAGATCGCAGTATTCTCAGGCGTGGGCTTTTTTGATTAATCGCGGTTGGAATAGGAGAGGGAGCGTAGCGCAATCAACACACTCGAGTAACAAGGAACATAAAATTATATTTTATTTTAATGCAGATAACAAGTGGAAGGTAAGCGTGTTCCACGGCGAACAAGCAGAATTCGAGTACGCGCCACGTGTCACCCCACGAGCGCGATACTCATTCCGTCGCTGAACTGCACGGCAATCCCGGTCGAATTCGTACAAGACTATTTCCCGACATAAATTGCAGCGGATTCTACCCGAGCGGTCAAACGCGAAATACTCGAAAACGTTTACTTCCAATTTCCTTACAATCTACCGCGACAAAGCTGGTGATCTTCTCCCCACGAGACGCACAAATGGGCTCACCCGTAAACGCGACAACCGTGAGCTATTAATCCCGATGAAACACACGGATATCCAATTATAAGTGGCACGAACTTAACCGACAACGATAACTACGAGACTCTCACACGCGCGAGAGCCACCTCCCAAAACTACGGCACGGTTAAGCCAACGACGACTACGAAATTACACGCGACGAAATTACACGCAACGAAATTACACGGAACGAAATGACACGTAACAAAACCACAAGCACGCTGACTGTCGGCGGCCGTACGTTCGCATCCCCGAGACGGGCACTCGCGATCACTTTTTCACCCGGGCCCTCCCGCGGTATGGCACTTGGTATGATTCAAGTTACGGCTGATTTCCTTTATTCTCGCGGTACAACGCGACTCCCGGGAGAGCCTTAGTATTACCGCGATCTTACTTTGGGGAGGCTGAGCAGTGGCCTTACAATAACTCCTCGTTCCGGCAGCTCGTCGCTCGGCTCGCAGGGCTGGATGGTACCGGGATGGCGGCTCGCACGACAGTGGCGTTCCTTTGTCCCGGCGGGACCACGCTGGGCCCGCGCGCGCCCGCGCGCGCCTGTTTCCCTAGCCTGGTCGGTGCTGCGCCCTGGCCTGTTAGCGATCCCTCTAGGCGATCGCCGCGCCTTGCGAGGGCGCCCCTCGCATCCGCTGTCGTCCGCCGGCGGTAGTTTGAAAGCCCGCCTGTGTGAGACCGGCTGTCCAGGCCGCGACTCATCATCCGGTTGTTTGACGGCCAGGCTGGACGGGCCATGGCTCGTCAACCGGTGGCGGTTTCCCGGTGGTGACCCCGTTCCTCGACGGGGACCTTCGTCGGGGCGTCCCCCCTCTCCGGTCCTCCGTTTCCGGGCTGCAGTGCTGTTGTGCGGGCTATGTGGGTGCTTTGACAGGCCAGCGGCTGTTCCGGCTCTGGGCTCCAGCGTGACCCGTCCGTCGACCGTCCGTCCTTGGAAGCTCCCTGCTGTCCAGCCGTAAGTCCCTCGGTGCGGCATACGCCGTTACAACTTCGTGACCCTGGCCATCTGCTCCGGTCTCCCTTGATACCTGTAACGCTCGTAACAGATCTTAATCCTAACCTAAATGTTCGCTCTTCGCCCGCCCCGGGCAGAGGCACCATCCCTGACGCCTCCCTCGGCCGAGTTCTTATCTGGGGTGAGGGACGTGACATTTGTCACGTCACAGGCTTTAATTACAATTTTTTAATTATTTTATATATGTCATTATGGTCGTGTCACCTGATGCTCAAGGCGTGCTGTGTGAAATTGTACAAAGATATTGCTGATTATAATGGGGATATTGCATGGGTAAAGTATCTCAGTATCTGGAATTCAAAAGTTGCACGGATAGTACCTGATGCAACATTATGAAAAATCTGCTGGTATGTTAGCATTTATAATTATGAGATGCGATTTTTGCAGTTTCTATGAATTAAAATTTTGCATTAGTTTTCAGATTCCAGATGTTGCTCCGTCAAATGAATATTATAGAAATGTAAATGAAATCATTGTATATATTCAACAGAAGAATACCCATTATTGAATAAACATATTTAAAACATATATAAAATAATTAAAAAAATTGTAATTAAAGCCTTAAAAAAATGTGATAAACAAGTAATAAATAATAAGCCAAAGCTTTTCTAACAAAATATGCCATTCAATAACAAAGCGCCTTTATGCCTTGACCGGCGCTACAAGGCATTACTTTGAGCATCAGGTGACACAATCATGATTTTCATTTTTTTACTCCAAAACTATATTTTTTAAAAATCTAGAAAAATTTTATGTTAAAATAGATACTAGTACAATGTTTTTGCAAAAAAATTAAAGGTGTCACTCTAAAAAAACACAAAAAAGAATTGTTTGAAAAATTCAAAAATTTTTTTCAGTTTTATTATTTGTTCAAAAATTACAAAATATTTTTTTTTAAACCATTATTGATATCTACAACATATATTTTTTTTTCATAAAAATTGGTCGAGCCGTTTTCGAGAAAGAAATTTTTTGTTTTTTTCTTTCTTCCTTCATAACTTCTTCAAAAATATAATTTCAAGGTCAATATTTGCAGAAGTTCAAGGTCACATGGGTACTAACTTACGACGCCAATATCAACTTCATACTTGCGGGGGCAATTTTTACATGCTTATCCCCCTATGCCCTTTCTTTTCGCTGTACACCGACGGTATACAAATTCCCAGTAGACTGCTACAGCCGAGCTTCTCGAAAGACGAGCCACTCTACGTCGAAGCTTATCACACTCTCTTTTCGGGAACTGGTATACTCTTTTTGAACGAAGGTAATTCTATAAGTAGAGAAGATTACGCCGAAGGATTCACACTTTTCACCTTTGATCTTACACCAGACTTATCAGCCAATTTTGCCGGCCATTGGAATCTTGTGAAACATGGCAGTTTACGACTGGAAGTGCGATTTGAAAAAGCACTTACCACAACCGTTAATTGTATCGTTTACGCCGAGTTTGATAATGTTCTAGAAATCGATTCTACTCGTCAAATCATCGTCGACTTTGCCGGTTAAATGACAAATGTCGACAAATAATATTTCACAGCTTTACGCGGTACATGCTTTATTTTTACCCCACCACTACATATTTTACCCATCACATTTTCCTGCGTAAAGTCCTGCGAAAAGATTTAGTTTCACTCGAGACACGGACGTCGACGCTTCGCTTGAAAAAATAGAGTGTGCATTTTGAACTGTGGATCTGGTCATCGACATACAAGGTTTCCGTGATGTCAACGGAAAGTTTATTCCGAAAGAAGTCGCAGTTGTCGCGAATAACGCAGCGATCGCCGGACACTGGATTAGGACGTCTCCCTATCCATTTGACGATCTACCCGAAAAGTCAAGGCGTGAGAATAACTGGCTTTCGCGAAATGATCATGGAATCGAGTGGTTCGATGGTGAAACCAATCTCAAATGTTTCACGCTACATCTGCGAGAAATTACGCGACAAGTGCGCTACATCTACTGCAGAGGTGTGGAAAAGGCTCGTTACTTGAGTCATCTACTTTCCAGAAACATATATAATCTAGAAGAAATTTCTCCACCGTTCAAAAGTTTACCGGAGGCCCGAGAGTACAGTCAACGCTGCTCACATCACGGATTTCGTGTTTCGACTACGGACAAAATTGCTTGTGCGTTACGTAACGCTTTCAAATTGAAACGCTGGTTAGTCTTGCGAGACAACAACGAATACAGCAGCAGCAGCAGCATCGACTCAACTTACGATACTATAAATCTCTCACACGTAAATTTGGATACAAGCGACGACGACGACGACGAGGGTGAAAAAACCGATGGTGACATCGCTATAGAAATAAAACAGTGGCAAAAAAATAACGAGACAGAAGAGAAAGAGGAAGGAGAAGTAGCAAAAGTCTATTATTCAGTAGCGGGCGTAAGAAAAAAATACATCTTTAATAACAAACCGATACATCCGTCTCCATCCAAGAACACTAGTGCGACAACTCCAAAAGAGGTAAACTCCGAAATTATACAAATAATTCCTCTCGTGCAATCACCGCCTCGCTGTGTAAAAAATTAACTCGCTAGAAATCTTACATGCGTTGCATCATCTTAGTGTCAGATATGCGGGCGTCTATCCTGCCGACAGACTGCCGAGGGTGTGGACGAGGTCGAAAACCATCGTCGCTAACACGGACGATCACGATCGGCCCGGTCAACATTGGGTCGCTTTTTACATCGACAAGCAAGAAGCAAGAACGTATTTCGATAGCTACGGACTACCGCCTTTGGACTCCAGATTCCTCTAACGCCTTCGTCGAAATTTCACTACGCATCGATGGAACACCGCGACGCTACAAGGAAC